GATCAATAGAATAAAAAATGCAGTAGTGTTTTATTTTGTGTTGGCACAATAAGCAGCTAAGGAAACATATTGTTGCTTATCGATGCATCCAGGAGGCAACATTCATCTGGACTTGTGCTTCCGGCCACCTGATGAATGTCGACCCAACATCCTTTTTTATGTTGCACTAAAATAATGAATGCATGGATGAAAAGAATTGAGGATCCAATCAGTTAAGTCCATAGCAAAGTAAAAAGATCCATCGTCTTCTCTAGTTAGCTTCACTTGTAGCAAAGAGCTCAATGTAGCAAATAGGCTTTGGCGTGATAGAAATGTGACATATAAAACTCCTCATATCATGAGGTTGGCTCCCCAAGTCGGACTGTTCACCATTGGCACTTCTTAGTTCCCTTTTCTTGTTATCATCTCTGCAATGAGACGGGAAAAATATCACTAAAGTTCCCCAAGGGAGGAACACACGTTGATTTACCTTGTTTATCCGTTGTTTCCAAAGTATCTATCTATCTATGTATCTTTAGATGCACTACCCTCGGTTTTCACTGCCTGTTGCCGGGATCTGACAATTAACCCGACATAAGTTATTTAACCTCGTAGGACATCACCCCTTATTTATCGTGGCAGTTACAGCAGCAAACGAGGCAAACATGTTGATCTACCGCAGCGACGACCTTTCTCTCAGGTCCTTTAGACATTTGAAATATGCAGCTGAATGTTCCACATACTTCACAAGCCTTACAAGGACCATATACATGTAAGGGCTTCGTCTCATCACGCATACATCTTCCCTCGCTGGAATATGTCTGACTTTTATCTATTCTCAGTTGAAGCGTACGATTACTTGTTGGAAAATGCTACGGAATGCTTCAACCGCCGGCCTTATCAAAGCCACTGCAGCCGTGCAGATAAAGGCCCAAAAATAGCAAAATAAGTGTTTCTTTTCGGCCCGATGAACTACTGTACTGACATTTTGACCCATGTCTTTTACAGTGTCGAGGCGACACACCCGCTGATAGGAAGAAGGAATGCTTGACGTGCGGACACATAAGGCTCCTCTTCTAACAGATATGTGCATGCATACAGCAGAATATGGATTGATTGGATTATGGTGTCCGCCACCGATGTGAAAGGATGCGGAGAACACGCTCATCAATGTGCTACAACGTCAACATTCTAATCAAAATACGAGGTGCTTCCCAGGCGAATTGTTTCCAACAGCGGCAGGGACTCTGGGACTTAAAGTGAGGACTTGACATACGTTGTGTGCGGTTGGGGGGGGGGTCCTTATAAAGAGCGACACAGCGTGTAGGAATAGTAAAGCGGGTCAAACAAACAGCACTTTCTCCCAGGAGACCGTTGTTTGTGTTCTAACCAGAAGTCAACACACGAAAATCTGAAATGAATATCAACGGCTTTTTATTCGCTATATGGGGCGGGGCTAGAAATCTCTTTGTAAGACGAGATTTCTCAAAAAGGTAAATATTCTTACGTCTCTTCTTAAGTGTTTAATCAGGTATGAATATTAACTAACGATCCACACATCATTTAGGAGTCATTGTTTTCATCTTCCAACCAGAAGGTTGGCGATTCTCAACAAACTGCTCTCCGCATAACTAAATGAATATAAACGATAAGTAATTCAACCTTAATGACAGTCGATTTTCAGTCGATTATGTTTACCGTCACGGCTGTACTAAATAGTGTGACATTTGAAAGGCCGCACACAAAAGGCACGCACCTGTCTGGTAGAGCAGCGATATACAATAACAGGAATTACACTGAGAAAACCTAATCACACAATGACATTTGTATCATTTATTTCAAGGGGATCGCTTCATAACAAGCTTAGAATCTAAATAAAAAAGGAAATCAGTGGAGACCAAGCCGGCAAATCTGAATGTATGTTTGAGAAGATATGCTTCACTAACAAGTCGCATCACAAATATTGATATCCAGTCTGAAGTGTTACAGTGTGATAACGACTGATAATGAGGTGAGACGGGTTCCATGTAAATGAACGCGGAAAAGATTCTGTATTTTTATGCTAAATCGGCCTAATAAAAACATCAGGGATTCATATATTTCACCAGGAATGATACAAATCTCTGTATTATTCATGGTCTTTGCCCAAACCTGCTAAATGGATCAATCTGTGTTAACGCAGGAACAACCGTAGAAATAAAGGACCGCGGTAACTAAAACAACGATGCCACGGGGCGCCCTTTGAAAACAAAACAATGAAAATACGAAGAAAATGAATATTTTAACCTATCGTCGTCTCCAGAGAACACCTCATTAAGCTCCATAACGAGTGAGCGACAGGCCACATTAGACCTCGCACAGCAGGAGGCTGCTGCTGCACAATCTGATGAAACTTTCCAGGCAAACACTTGTCAGCGGCGCCGTGATCGCGGCGCAGAAGCAGGTGTTTTGTTTATGACAGCTGGTGGGAAACACAAAAATCAATGGGTGCACCGAAATATTCCTCATAGAACTTTAAAACAATTCCAGTTTCAGTCGCCGCGTGATAACTCGGTTTAAGCGAGGTGCTAGTTCATTAGCTCGGTCACATTAAGCAAATCAATGAACTGAATAAAACATGAATAAATAAAAGTCACCTGAGTTTTCCTTCGTGTTTTAGCCAGTGTGCTGCTGTCTTTGTTTACCGATGTTGGATAAGCTCACAGGTTTATTTGGTCTGACGGGGGCCGGTGGATGTGAGGCAGCCAGGGAACAACAACCACAACAACCAGATACAAAAAAAAGGGCTTACAAGCATACGCGTCGCTTGACAAGCATTCAGGCGTGAGGGGCGTAAAAGCAAAAACACGGCGACTAAGACGCAACAGCAGTCTGACGACTAATTGGGTAAAAAAAAAGAAAAGGAAAAGGCGCTGCGCTGCGGGGCTGATTAGGAAATGAGCTGCAGGAGAGGAAGCTCGGCTAGATGGGCGCCTCAGTCAGGGACGGTGGAAATGTCCCTTAAGAAAAGGGCCGGACAGGAGGAATAGACCGGGGGTCCACGCAGAGAACGCCTGCATTTCTCCATTATACAAACATTTTGGAATTGTTGCATGTATGCTTTTACTTTTTGGTATCCTTTCGATTAAAATTTGAAGAGCTGGATGCTGCAGCACCGAGTGGATTTTTCCATTTTCTTTTTTTTTTGTTGCTCTAGGACCTTTGATCACAGCGTGAAGCGACTTACACTCGTGACTTGCCTTCGAGTACCTGCCACCTGACTTGACCTGGACCTTGTTTCAAATGACTCAAAACTTCCCTTGGACATCCAAGTAAAGCTCTGCAGCCACTCAACAGCCCAGTGGGAGATCAATAAAGAACCTCGAAGGGCCCGTACAAAAAAGGGAAAGTCCCGGGCAAATGTGAGCTTTTGTTGCAGGCTTCCAACCGTACTGCTGCACTCCCGTTTTGACCTTTTCTCTTGAGATGCTCAGCTCCATGTCTTCAAAGTGTGGAAACACAGCGAGAGGGGGAACGTCTCTGCCAGTGTGCGTACAAACAGACTGTACAGCGATACAGGGACACTTGAGGCGGTTTACCTCAAGTGTCCCTGTATCGGTGGGACAGGGGGACGCTGGCCTTTGGGGGTCAGGCCCAACATCATCTCTGCTTCCACTTCCACGTAATGAGGTTTATCGGCTTAACAACGGTGATGGAAATAAATATAAATGAATTGCGTAATTGGACTAACGCCGTCAGTAAAGTGCGGATTTCCTTTCAATCTATTTCCCCTAATGAAGACGATTCAATGTTCTCCTTTTTCACAATAGACTAATTATATATATATGTATATATATATATATATATATATATGTATATATATATATATATATACATATAAATATATATATATATATATATATATATATATATATATACCCTAAATAGTACATATATATATATGTATATATATATGTATATATATGTATACATATGTATACATATATATATATGTATACATATGTATACATATATATATATGTATACATATGTATATATATGTATACATACATATGTATACATATGTATACATATATATATATATATATATATATATACATATGTATACATATATATACATATATATATATATATACACTTTATATATTATATTTATTCTCAAACAAAACTCAATTCATTACTTCTCTGCTGTCCATGTAGTTGTGTTCAACTGCTCCACTTCAACAAAAAAAAAAAAAAATTTGGGAGAATAAATCAGAAACCTCTCTAATCCCATTTTCCACTCGGTCCGGCAACTCTTTGAGACGCCGCCGCACTGAAAGCATTTTTTCATCATTGAATGATTCGATTTTAAAATCCAATTTCCGTCGCCGCTGAACCCCCCCACCCCCCCCCCAATCCCCCTACCGGACCGCCAGGCCACAGGCCGCACGGTTCATCGCCCGAGACTTCCGACGGGACGTTGAACGCGAGGCCACGTGGGCGCCGGTGGCGTGAGCCAACGACTCGGACCCCCTCAGGTCGCCGACGTCCGGTCGATATCAGGCGGGGAAATGATAATGTTGAAACAAAACACGAGTGCATTTGCGAGAGCGTGTCGGCCGTTGAGGGGCCGAGCACATCGCCTTCACTTGGGAAGCCGGTCGCTATTTCCAGTGTCAATTCAAACGTGAGGTTCACCTCTTTCCACTTTTCCTGCCTCTTTCACTGGAGCTCCTCTGAAGTGGACTGTTGTGAACGAGAGGACTACTTAGTTCCACTAAAACCCATGGAGAGGTTTCAGTGCTGTTTTAACGTTTGAGGGCCCTCTCAACCCAAACAGCACACACATAAAAGGGTTTCAGCAGTCAACAGCTCTGCTCGTACCAGCAATGCTGTTTGGGGGGCAGTAAACGTCATCTCTGCCATCTTATCAGTGTATCTCCAACGAAGGACGGCGACACGTTTGCATTAAATAGTTTTCAGCGAGGAAAAATAAATAAATGTGAAAGGAAAAGAAAGAAAGGAGGCACAGCCACTAGTAAATCATAATTGAAATTTTATTAACAGTTCGAATTAGAAAGTTGTTCTGCATTAAATTCCATTACAGTACAAACCAGGAACTGAATTAAAAAGGCCACGCACTTGAGCTGAAGGGACAGGGGAGAGAAATGAAATGGGCTCCGAGGTGCAGGAGAGGGCAGGCGGCTGGAGGCGGGAAAAAAAAAAAAAAAAAGGGAAACCAGCAGCGGAGAATAGTGGATGAGGGAGGAGAGAATCAAAGTCGCAACCCTTCATAGAAGGGGAGAATACAGACCTGCGGCGGCGTTACATAACGGCAAAGACTGACTGTTTAAAAACGGGATGTTAAATAACATATGGATTACCTCCACATTTACACACAAACATGCCGACAGCTGAAAAATCCCCCCGAGGCGATGAAGACGTTTTCGGGAGGTCGGGCGGGACACCGGATGGTTTCAGCGCTGCCGTTTGCCCTTTACGCTCCCTCACAACACAAGCCAGCGCTCAAATCAAGGCGAAATCATAAACGGAGGAGGAACATGGGAGGGGGGATAAGACGGAGCTGATTCAACCGGAGAATGCCGGCAGGAAGCGGCGCCGTCTTTAGGAATTGGGAGGCGGGAGGGTCTTGGAGGTGGCAAGCATGGCCCGCACTTTGGCCATCAGATCCTGAAAACAGGAAGACACAAAGAGAAAGGATGGGGTGGGGGTTAATGTACATCTCCACACATATCCACCGGATCACATGACACGTAGCTAAAGCGGTACCCGTCTATTGATCGCCTCCCCAACGCAAAAGGATCTTATTTTGAAAAGAAACATTCATGCGACATTAACTGCTCCCCGTCGTGCAGAAGAGCTGCTGATGCTACGGGGAATAAACTCTCCAGTCTGCAGCTGTCAGATACTCTAAGCTTATTCCTTTGTGTTTCCTCCATCAGCCCCCACCCCCCCCCCCCCCCCCCACCCCCGCCCTCATGTTGAAGGGCAACATACGGTGGTAAATTTGAAAGAGTTGTTTCGGAGCGTGCTTCCTTCCATGGAGCCATCAGGAATTCCTTAATACAGCTTAAAACATATTTCAAGTACCGAATAATACCCTGTAAGCACTGGGAATAAAATCCATCATCTCCTCCCCGAATCTGTACGTGCACAGTCACCTAATCCTCTATTGCAACAGCTGACCTACTCAGCTTATCTGCAAATAGCTAAACAAACAAACAAATAGGTATTCTCAAATGCAAATGTGTATTTGATTGCGGGGGGATGAAGCGGCACCACCGCAGCGACGGCGCCGCACGATGGGAGACAAACAACGCCTCCTTCAATTTGAAGTTAAATGAAATTTTAGTTCAGGCTGAAACGACGGCCGTCGTTGTATTACGTCAAAAATCTATTATCCGCTTGAGATCTGGATACATAAACGCTTGCTGTCCTTTGAGGTTTGTACTTCTAAGTAGAAAACATGCGTATTACGTCGGGATATTTACACAATGTACGCGAGTAAAACAGCAGTAGTGATCATGAGCAGAGGATTGTGATTCTCAAACACTGGGTCTGGACCCACAGGTGGGTCGCAGGTTACTTTATTAGACTTGCAGAATTTATTCAGTAGACCTTTAGAGCAGCATAATAAAGCCTGAATGTGCACAATGTTGTGATTATTGTATCCACCTGACAAAAAGTGCAGCTAAAAGAGACGAGCGCAGTCCGACCGGCGTCTCGCGCAAAAAAACCCGCTTAATCAGCAGAAAGATAGTTGATATAATTCAAATAATTTGAATAAGGAACCGGCAACATTTCTAACCACATTCCCTCCCTTTCCAGGAGGAAATGTTCAACTTGCCGACAATGTGCTTGCATTGCTGAATAGGAAGTGTTCATTCACATCCTCAGAGTGATTATTCACACATGGACAAATATTCACCCTTGAGCTCTCCTGACAGAGGAGACAAATTAACAGCTGTGATCACGGAGGGAATGAGCCGTCATATCAAATCACTCACAAGGCAATTTCTCTCTAAACCCTGGTGTATGTGAACACACACACGCGCACACATGCACACACACACACACACACACACACACGGGCAAAGACGCGAGTAGAGAAATTGTGATAAACATCCTCCAAATTATTAATGGAAAGTAGGAAGTTGCTCTACAGTTGATTCTTGTCTCGGTAAATGAAAGTGCTGCAGAAATTGTATTACATTAATAGATTATCACAAGTTACATTACAGCCGTCGCAAAGGCGCAGGCCCACTGTGGTTACATCCAAACAAATGAGCTTGCAAAGAAGATTTCCTATAAGAAATGCACAGGATGTCGACCTAAATGTTCCTTATTTCATCTAATGTTTTATTAAACATAGATTCAAGCTAATATTTTTGCAAGACAAGACAAAGAAACAACACACTTCACACTGGTCTGTTCATTTCAAATCAGTTTACAAAACTCAAAATAAAATACAAAAATTCACAGTTTCGCAGGTTACAACTGCAAGTTTGATTTCCTGCTAAATATATCGAGGGAGCTACGCAGCATCTTCAGTTTCCTCTTCATCTCTCCCACACATTCACCCACCTCCCTGGGAAAAGTTCTTCACTACTTTTTGTTTTATCCCTCTAGAAGTCAGTCAGTCGGGATTGACTGCGGCCACGCGACCCTCTAAGGAGAAGCTGGATGCAACACACAGTTGCCACAGAGACACGACACGACAAAGCTAAGTTCCTCTCAAAGTGGACGCGACAACCATCAGGCAGAGTAGACCAAAACAAATGTAAATCACAGGACAGAAGACGGAGGAAGACAGACAAAAAAAGGGAGGGGTCCCTGAGGGGGAAAGAGGACACCATTAGGCAGATGAGGATGAGCTGAATAATTCAACACGTGTTTGTAAAACATCACGGGCGGGGGTTGGCGTCTTGGAGAGCTCGCTCTCTTCGGTCGGCGCCGGCGTTGCGTTGGACTACGCGCGAGGGAAGGAAGTCGATATGCTTTGTTTGCGGGCCGTCCAGAGGTGATTGAAACGCGCGATGCATTCCGGCGAGCAAACACCCGACAGTCGCTGTGTCACGACCTCACACACACACACGCACTAATTGGCCCGTGGCCACAGGAGGGAAAATGTTGTGTTAGTTGTTGCAGTGTTCACAGAACAGCCGGCGTAGCCTCTGCATTCACACTCCATTGACCTCCATTAACTGGAGGCCCAATGCTTCTCGACACTGGCTGTGTTGCGGGTTCGACTCTTCCTTCACCAAAAGGGTTTCATATTTCCATTTCGACACAATCGAGTGCCTAAAATACTTCTACTGCTACAGAAACGTAGCCGTCACGTAGTAACATGAGCGCACACCGTCCCTTCATCCTTTGTAGACGCGCACAAGTTGCCTGACGATCAAACATGTATGACATCGCACGCAAGTAGAAATGTAATTAGTGACACTTCAGGATAATGAATCATAGTAGATAATGATCTAACCTGAAAGTGTAAAGACGTATATAGTTGATGAAATACTTTCACTGGTTGCCAGTTTTTCATCTCGGGTTTTTGATGAATCGAGGGGATTCAGTTAGATGTTTGTCTGAGGAGTTGTGCGCCGTGTTTCCACATCAGTCCAAATTAAGCAAGTGAGCAATATGACACCGTATTGCACTTAAGTGCTGTTGGAGAGACGAAAATAGATTCTAAAATAAGACTTAAATTGACGAGAAAACTGTTGGGACTATTTGTCCTGATGAGAAATGACTGACGTCAGAAATGGCTCGACAACACCGCGGAGCCTTTTTTTGGTCAGTGATAGTGACACAAAGAAAAAAAAACATGTTTAAATAAATAAATCTATTGACCCGTACACTCTTCTGTCCTTCCTATTCTCTTCAGCTAACTTCTTTATTCTTTCCTCTGGAACTGGATCACGCATTTCAAGCAGCCAATCTGTAGTCATTGTTGTTCTAATTCATCAGTGCGAGGTTCGATTTTGTAAAGTATGTCCGCTCCACTCATTCGGACATCGGGCTCCAACGCCGCTAAAAGAGGAAAGCGAAGCTCTGTGCGTGAACAGAACACAGACCCGTCCCGTTCGACGCACTGCAGATGCACAAAGCGTCCTCATTCTGACAATTGGTGCAAAAACTGTGTGAAAGAGGGGCGCATGCAGTGTGATCGCTGTAGGTTTATGAATGAAAGTGTCTGTTTTTAACACTCAGCGGTGACAGTCATCCAGCCCAAAACATTTCCCAAAGCCTTTCCACGCACAATAAAAAGCCCCTGTACAACCTGCAGGCAGGGACGCAAAGAAAAACAGCTGGATGAACGTAACCTCCGGTGCCTCAGCAGAAGTGTCACGCTCTCTCGCTCCTTCAGTCTGAATTTACAAGCACCGGAAGACGCACAAATGAGCTGCCAAAGGGACCCGTTTGGCCGGGAGAGAGTTTGCAGAGGTCGCTGCCGCTCAAACGGCCTCCACTCTTCCGAAAAAAAAACAACCTCGGCCACGTTTCCGGCAGGAGTCCGTGGGGAGGAGAGAGAGAGAGGGGGGGGGGGCACTTCTGCAGACTGGGTGAACTGCCACAATCGCTCGGCGTGCTGAAAGGTAGCGTACGGGTGACGATACCGATGTCACTCTGCAGGCGAAAGTACCGCCTGAGAGTTCAGTCTGCTCAGAATGTCCTCATCAACGTTTGTTAAGGTCCAGGATGGTAAAACTCAACCTTTGTGTCAACATTGACACTGATTACTGGCTAACACACACACACACACACACACACAGAGATAGTTGCTTGATAAAGTCTAGTACACGGATGTGTTGCATAAACATACAGGCGCTACTGCAGCATGTGGATGGTATAAAAAATTAATCCGCTTCAAAAACAAAAGGCGTTTTTTTTTTTTTTTACCTCTTTGCATGATGGAAAAACATAAAAGCACTCTACGTGCATCTGGAAGGCTGCATAGTTCAGCAGAGGACATATTTGGGTTGGAAACAAAAGAACAATACCTGAGTTATTTTTGACTGAACCGAGGACACAATGGAGGAGGCCACTGCCTTGTCTTTCTCCAGAGAGCCGCCCCTGTAGAGAGAAGAGAGGGATGGAGAGACGGAGGGGGAGAACAGAAAGAGAAAACCAATCATGTTAACAGGGGAGGCTATACAATATTCATAATATATCTTCTGAAATGTTCAAAGTTGGAGAGACATCAAGAGCAGCAGAAGGGAGAGGAGAGGGAAGAGACAGGTGAAAAAGTAGTGGAATGTTATCAAAAAAAAAAATGTTCCACCCGGAGCAGAAAACTACCACATTGACAAACCTGGAAAAGTTTATATAAAAAATGGCCAAAAGCTCATCTTCTTCAGCCCGTCCAAATACTTTTTGTCTACGTATGTGGACGGGATGTACTTCAGCCTCTTGTGAGAGTGTGAGGAGGAAAGACTCCTTTAAAAACCCCATGGAGATGGTTCCTTTTGGGGAGATCGACTCGCTGTGGCTCAGTCGTCCCCCTCGGTAAAGTACAATTTGGAAAATGGAAAATTAGGGGGCAAAAGTCAGCACACAAGAACGTTTCAAACTGCCAGCGAGATAATGCGGAGCCGCCAGAGAGCGTCCGGTACCCGGGAGGGAAGCCACATTAATAGTTCAGCACCCTTCGCGTCCTTCGCTTTATGAATTTGTAAAATCTCCCTCCAGGAAGCCGACGCAGGGAAGCCACAGCAAAGATTCACATCTTTTATTCTCTGTCATCTTACCAAACAAAGGACGTTAACTGGGACTGCGGCAGTTTTTTTTTTCATTTAGGATATGTAAATAACTGTTAATATTTTAGCACTTTAATCCCAAACTTTCAGCTCAATAATTTATTGTTTCTCATCTCTGTATTGTAACCCGTGGCAGAGCGAATGTATGTCCAGGGTGCCACAGACAAAAGAACAAGGTAAATATATGACAATTAAAGTACGACATTGTCTAAATGTAAACCTCGGATTTTTGTACCTGATTGAGGTCTATAATAAATCATACATTTACTAGCTAACTACTCCTTTTCAATTGCTCTGTCTGCTTATGCACAGAGTGTATAACCAGTTGTGACCGACAGAATTCAAATAGAAACAAAGCATTCTCGCCTGAACAAAGCGCGGCATTTTGTTGGAAACAAAGGAGGAAATAAAGGTTTATGAGATACGTTAGTATCACGCAAACCATCCCTTCTTGAAAAGGAGCCTTTACGTTTGCAAAAGCAAAAAGTTCATATACAGTATATATATATATATATATATATATATATATATATATATATATATATTGTTCATAGTGACACGACAGATGAGCTCAATAAAAAGGAGTCGAGAATTACTCTTTACAGCCCTTTCATAACATAACTGTATAAAACACCCATCCAGCCTTTTATGGCTTGCTTAAAACTCATAAATCCCGAATAGTGGCTGGTATGGTCATTTAATGGCGCTTCCGTCCCAATGCGATGATCACTCGCTTCATAAATACGTGGCCACTCTGCCCACGGTGTGACGCAGCAGATATTTGGAATCAATGAGCTCTTTCCCTTCGTCGGATATTAAGTTTGTAGAAATTCATCCTCAATGCAACAGCAATGGCCTTTGACCTGAACTGTACAAACACTTATTACTCCCCCGCCAGTGAAGAACTTCTTTAAAGTATTCATGCAAATATTTCCTGCAGTCACAACACACACCAGCGGGTAAGTTGCTCTGCCCCTGCCCCCCCCGTCGCCCTGTCACGGGTTCATCAGAACAAACATCCTATTCAACTCTGCAAAGCTTTTCCTCTCTGAAATGGCTTTAAGAGATGTATTCATCATTTTCAGATAAGCTGGAGCGACAGCACTTAAGAATTGCATAATTTCCTTTTTCTTTTCTTTCTTTTTTTATAATACTTGGATTCTGAAACCGATTATTTGTGTTTCTTTGTGGATTACAACAGAGAACGTATTAACTTTTTAAAATCCATGATTTGTGTTTGGAATAATGGCGGAGACCCGTAATGTTTCACCAAGCAGTGTTTCATGCCTCGCAAAGTGGACGGTAATCTCTTAAGAAACCGTATTAAAAAAGATCCCTATGGTATAATTTATCCGGCTAAGCGGAAACTGTAATGAGGGTTGTGGTGCACTAAGGGAACGCTTCAAGGCCGAGGGGGAACCCGATCACGTACACCGAGCCGGCTTATCAGAAGGACATTAGACATTAGATATTTCCACAATTTGCAAACCAACATGTGTGCAGATAAAACCAACAATACTGAATCGGCTCGTCCCACAGAGGCGTCCTTCTCCGAACCTCCACTAGTGTTATTCGGACGAGCTTTTGAGTTGAAACGGATAAAAACCTTGCTCGTCCATGTTGATATCATTTGCCCCTGCCAGCTTTCATGGGTCGGCTCACTGCTCCAACTGGACGGATGCGAAAAGGGGCTTTTGCTGGTTTCTGTGGATCGTCGGGAGACTCCTTTGCCTAATACGTGACATATTTGATTCTAATCATATGCATTTGACACGGTTGCTCTGGGAAAAGCTAATTACTTCAACATGTAAAATGGTCTTGAGAGCTGCATGATTTAACATTTGCAGTAATGCACGTGAAAGGCCGCATCCGGCTTTTGTTCTGCTCTTTGCTGGATTGAAGCCTCACCCGACTTCGTCCCGCTACCCGTCTCCTCGCCTCACTTCGCGGAGTACGGCGCCGGCAACGCGCTTTGCCGGGGGAACACAAGACGGAGGGCGATGCGTGGGGAGCGAACCAGCCTCGTGTTCTAATTGCAGCTCGTATTCAGAAGTTAATGTATTCAGCTTTAATTGTCTCTTTGTTGGAAATTCTTCAAACAAAGACAAACCCGTTGGCGTCGCTGCCGCGAGTTCCTTCGTGCCTCGCGACCTTGAAAGACGTTGGGTGTCAGCCACGGTGACGCTGGCTCGTTGGATTTCCTGTTTGGGCGGCTCCAGATATGGACGTCCTCGGGCGCAAAGCTCAGCTTAACCCTGACCCACCATCTCGCCTCCTCCGTACGACTACGTTTATCACTTTAAAAGAGTCTTAGCTGTGATGGCTACATACTTTGTGGCGTTCTAAAGGAATGAGGGTGTATAAAACGGAACCATTTGAATACCAGTGCATACTAGGAAGAGAAAGACGGAGGTTACCTCGAGGCTTTATTGCTCATATTTTCAAACATTATGTTTCACTCGAACGGTTTGAAGATGAGGACTGATGTGTTTAATGAACGTAATCCAATGTTGGGTAACAAGTCTGGCTTCAGTTGATAGAGTGCAAAACTAAGCTGATTTTGTCTCTTCAATCAAACAAAATTGTCCTTGGAAGTCGGATTGTGTGAGCTTACTCATCTGGGTGGTATTGAGTATCACGGTTTAAAACCTTCTTGACACTTTAAATGTTTGTTTTTTTCTTTTCCAAAGGCTAAATGAAAACACAACACCATCTAAATGCTTGTTTTGCTCTCACTGCAGCCCCATACACACCGCTTCAACTCATTGTTTATTCCACACCAATAACAATACAAACGTGTTTTTAATAAAGAGTTTGTGTTTGCCATCATCCTCAGGTCTCTTTCAGGGTGTATTGGCAGTTTTCACCTTTTGCTATAATAGTTAACTGCTGCGTTTGGTTCATAAGAGACAGAAGATCAAAAGACTTGATCTACTGGTCTAAATAAGAAAATGTAAAAGCAAAAGCAACACAAATTGCATCAATCTCCCAGACAGTAAGTCCTCCCAACCAGCATTTGTTTCTTCAGCGCGGAGACATTCCGGTAAACGGAGTAGAGCAGTTGATTGACAGGCGCGCAGCGGCTTACCTGGAGTGGGCCAGGCTGGAGGCGGGGCTTGCAGACGGGGACAAAACTCTGCCGGACGAGGAACACGGGGAGAGAGAGGAACCCACAATTTGCATCTGTCCCGAGGATGACAAGAAGCTCCTTCTTTTCTCAGGCGGGGACCTTGGGCGACAAATGCAAGAAGGGACTGAAAGACTGCAGATTCGAGTAGTAACACAACGCAGCACACAATATATCAAGGGCAGGAACAGCTGTCTGAAGGCGGTGCTTATGTATTCAGCAAAGCCCCACTTTAAATTCATGCAAGTACAAGCCGCCCATCGCATTTTCCATCAGTGGTCATTCGGGGATTAAGTATCAGCCTTGTAGGTATGTTGGGTAGATCTACTCTTCTGCAGATACGAATGCACATTATAGTATTATCAACGCTTACTGTTGGAATCTGGCTGCAGTGACAACGTAAGCACAGCTCTCGATGCGGACCTGCGACACCTGCCGTTAGCCTTACCTGGATCTGGAATGGCCCCTGGGAGGGTTGGAGCTGCTGCTGCTGGGATGGTGGCGCTCGCGCTCTCTCTCGTCACGTCTCCTCTCCGCCGAGGGGCCCCTGCGGCCCCTTCTCCCCGGGGAGCGTGACCGGGAACTGGCCAGACAGGAGGACAAAGAAAGCGCGTGAGGAGGGGACCGCGACCGAGCCTCAGGGGAGGAGCGGATGCATTTGAAATAGAAGAACACGGATAGAAGACTATGACCGAGGTTCTGTGCGACAGGAAGAAGTAAAGAAAGCTACGGGGAGTTTTTGTTTATGGAAATTGAAACGAGGAATAGTCAGAATGTTTTGAAGGGATTCCATTAGACCATCGGCCGAGGTGGATGGGGAACAATTCACATTAAAGGCAACGCAGTCACCAATACAGTTCAACTGGGCCACAAGAACAAAAATCCTTAAATTACTTTACCACACATCATAGACCTAAAATATGTAAATATTGTTTTTCAAAACTAGTCCGAAAAGAAAACAGCATTAAATATTTATGGCCTATATGTGAGATAAATTCACTTCTCAGATTTCTTCTTCGCATAAAAGGGCCGCGCTAGATTAACTTAAGCATGCACATCATTTGCAGACATGAACTCTGCAGGATTAAAGAGGGACGTTAAAACCCCCTTTTCTTAAAACGAAGCCAAAGGAAAGGACAGCAGAGTTAATGTCAGCTTGTGCTTGAAAGCGGGATGATCAATATTGGCCTATTTGAGGAATAAATGGCAGAAACAAAAGCAGCCCAATCTCTTCCTTTGATCCCCAGACATCGACCTCTATTCAATTTTTAACTACGTTCGTTCTCATATCGTCTTTTAATCCTCATTTTCATAAATTTAAATAAAAATGGATAAAGCAGAGGTGAAAGTTGTTCTCCTAAAATAACTCCGTCATCTCGCTAAATGGTAAGATTTAAACAGACCCATGGGGGGAAAAAGAATATGTACGTGTAATCCAAGACCCCCCGCCCCCCTTTTGAATAACGTTGATTCTTAGAGCTTCTCAGACGGGTCACCGAGTGCACAGCCGAGGGGGGGTCTTACTTACCGGGACCGGTGGGATCTCCTGTAGGCACTGGGAAGGGAGTGTTTGCTCTTCGTCTTCGACTTTGACCTCGACTTCGATCTTGACCGCCTCTTGTGTTTTTTCTTCTTTTTGTCTTTGTCCCGACCTTTGTGCCGGTCTCTGTCTCTGTCTCGGTCTTTCTCTCTCTCTCGGTCTCGGTCTCGCTCTCTCTCTCGAGCCCTCTCTTGGTCGCGGTCTCTCTCTCTGTCGCGGTCTCGGTCTCGTTCTCGGTCTCGTTCTCGGTCCCGATCTCTGTCCCTCGCAGCTCCTCTGGAGGTGGTGTGGGAGGAGGAGGACGTGGGCTCCCTGCTGCGATGGCCCCCTTTGCTCGCCACGGCCGGCCTTTGATCCTGAGGATACGCAGGTTGGGCAGACGGCGCTGGATGGGGCGCCGGGTCCGACAGGGCCGAGAGGGCTTCTTGTAACTAGAGACAACAGGAGGGACGCAGAGCAGAGATGTAAGTGAAGGCACCAAAACATCGGGACGCTGGACCTTTTCTTTTAAAGTGGACAAGGTATTGCTTATAAGTCTCTCTTTTCATCATTAAGGAAATTGGAATGGAATTACCAAATGCTGAGTGGATACAAATAGAATGAACAGAATGGAATAAAAACCAGCTGGCTGAGGCAAAGTCAATTATTACTCATTTTCACACACATAAAAAAAAAACTAAAAAAAAAAAAAACTTACTCAGCTGATTAAAATGTGTGAGTTGCACAACACAGTGCAGCCCTCTGGCTTCACACTGAGTTACAACTGTTAGCTGCAAAGTGCCTCTAATTACTCCAACGTGGGTCTTTCTGCTCATAGAAGATTGACCTGCTGCTGGATTCCCACTGAAGAGACGGCTTCAGGCCATCAGCGGATTGAACACGGCAATAAATCTTCCAAGGTCTTATTACATCTTTCAGGGCGGGGTCTTAGATAACTCCGGGGGGGGGGGGGGTCACCCATGTTACATATGTATGCCTTCATTGTACTGGAAGGCTATCACACTGGACCAACCACATTGGAGTGGTTGAAAATAGAAGACGGCAAGGAAATGTATGCAGGCTGTGACTTCAATCTCTCCAATTCAATCACCCCCATCTGCTAAAATAGGTGGAGCATAACACGAGAGAGAGGGCGGGACAGAAGGAAGTAGAGGGGGAAATGACAAATGATGAAAGAATATGAGAAATGTTCAAGCAGGAAAGAGAGAGAGAGATAGAGTGCTCACAGCAGAGGAAAATCAATGAGTATCTAAATAGAGGCAGGGAAGAGGAGAGAGGAAGAATATCTTTCACACCTCTCTATTTGCACGCTATCTGGGCTTACGGTCGGATAAGTGATAGGAAGCTAGGTTTGGTTTAAAATTAGGACCGACGTGTTGGGATAAGCATCCCAACACCGGGAACCAGATGATGTCGGCCATCCCACACCTGCTCTGGCAGATACCAAAGTTCGGACAGAAAGTCACAATAAACAAAATATGAGTTCCCACGGAGGGGAAATGGAAAGATAGGAGGGACATTCTATCAAAATATATATTAATAATTACTATGGATACAATGATAATGACATAAATCAATACTATATGATAAATCTCCAATTCAAAAAAATACATTCAAATAAATTCAATAATACATACTATTTAATACAGGATGAATAACTGTGAAAGAGACACTTTAACACAGCAAAGGAGAATCAGTCTTTACACACAAAAACGCTCAAAGTCACAATAAAGATCAGACCATTACGTCCTCACTCATTTTTCAAACCCAACATAATAAAGTATTAATAAACAAGTTAATTAAACTTCTTTTTCAGTGGAGCATTGTCTGACAAATTTGCAGGAGGCCGAAAAGCTTATGATTAATAAAAACACTGATGGGAAAATGTTATTTTTGACAGGCGGGAGAGGCGGGCCAGCCTCCCCGCCGGTCATTAATTAAAGGCTTCGACTGTAAAATACCTTTTGATATCCATCACTGAAGGCAGCCTGCAAGGCAGCGGGGAACTCTCTTATCCCTCCACATCATTATTCTCCCATTTATCGGCATTGTGAGCGGCGCCACCGCTCCCCGTAAACGTGCAGTCATGTCTCAATAAGCACGAGACAAAAGCTTGTGTCCGTCATGGCCGACGAAAGTAACACTTTAATGGTGCGATGAAGCCGTTCGAGGTCGGTGGCTGAGAAGAGTTTGAAGGTGCAGCTTGAAGAACAATTGTTGAACCGATGCAGAAGAACTGGGGGTGTCTTTATTTTATCCCCTTGCATTATACTTTATACTTGCCCGAACCTTATGACTTAAATTGCCGTTTTCAATATGATTGCATGCATTCTCAGATAATATCAAAATACATTAAAACTAAAAAAAATAATGTGGGTTGGACCAGTCTTCCTTCTCCAAAGAACTTTGAATTCCTTTCCTACATTAAAACATCGGTTTACCAGCTTTCAAGTGCAAACTCTCTTAGGCATTAAGAAAACTGACACAAACAGAAAAATGAGAAAAAAATTCCCGTTACCTCCATAAAAGATAAAGACAAAGACAAAACAAGCGGATTAGTTATTGGGAAAGATTCAACTCTCTGCAGTCTGCGTCAGTCTTTGTTTGAAACATTTGATCATGAGCCAAGGAGGAAAATATACTGCTTCCTCATGGGTGGCAACAGCTGCGTAGCGCACAAATGCCACCTTTTCCAATGATTGATTGGAATTGCGGTCACAGTCCATGCTTAAAGCTGCTCATGCATGCATCAGTCTCAGTGCGGATTGAAAACAATAACAATATGTGTTACACATCCTCTCTGCAGAAATGTGACCTTTAGATCCATGCCGTCTCTCGATATACCTCACTGATGTAGATGAAGATATTCTCCCGACAACCAGACATTCATCTCCTAATCTGTTGTTGCTTGGTTACGTAAACTGAAAACTGGCATCAATACAGCCATACAGCAGCTGTAGGTGCCTGCAAGTTCATTTTCGCATGATCAATAATGAACCTTCATGGAAAAAGAAGAAGAAGAAACAGACAGTATCCCATCTGGTGTTAACAGACATGAACATCACGGCTCTTTTAGTCAGCTGTATTTTATTATCTACTAAACCTCTATTATGACCAAAGAGAAAAAGAATCTGATGCAGCAAAAATGTGCCTCTGACCCTCAGGGTGGAAATGTCTGAGCGGGGCTGTGGAGGTTAACAATTTGATGAGGCAGGGTTTATTGTGCTGTGTCACATTTGTGCTTATTTATCCACTGCATCCGTAGGTTATTTTTTTAATGTATATATATATGATGTATATATTATGAGAAAAAATGGTTCTGTTGTTTATATTTGAGAATTCTATAACAAAATGTGATCAAAACTCCAAAGAATCTAGAAAGAAATAAGACAGCTCGGAGTTTTATGAAAAATGTACTGGGAAATGTGTCGAGGCCAGGAAAGGCCGCAGGTCAGCACTCAGACTGGTATTCTCTGTGCTAAAATGTGTAATACTCATATGTTCCTGCCTACAAAAAAACCATTATGATCAATGTAGGTTGAAGCGGCAGTTTGAAAATCAAAGCAGGGATGGAATTAACGAACACAGTATTTTTTTTTCTGATATCAAAGACTGTTGATTTTTACTCTGACTGTGACTTCATGCAGTTAGCCCGCTCAAGTGGCTCCCAGCAGCCTGATTCCAGATGGAAAAGTGAGACATGAGGCATGTTACCATTTATCTCAAAATCTTTTCTTCTAATGGCCCAAAACGGTTTAACCCGTCTCACAATGTACCAGTGCAAGTATATATAAGTGCAATCAAAGCAGCTTGGTTCTCTCAGAGTAAAACTTTTAAATGGTACGAATGACACAGTTAAAGCTTTAATCTATGAAATTATTGTGGGCGAGATTAATGCCATAAACTATTTCAACGCAACTTTGATTGCTTCCGGTGCGCGTTGACGCCCGACACGAAACCGCTGCATGCTGCAGTTAGTTACATCGCAGAGGCAGAGGCGGTTGGTTGAAGATGGAGAGAGCTTTCTGCATTGGAGGTAAAACAAACAGAGACGCGACATACAGCGGGGGAACTGTGTGTCGGGGTCGATCGACCTTTCACCCACCTCAAGCTGGGCGGCTGAGTCCAGCCCGGCCCGCTTGGCCTCGGGCTCCCCGGCGACGGGGCCGCGCAGTGTCTGTAGGAAGAGCGCCGCCTTCCTCTTCCTCTCGGCCTGCAGCTGCTTCTCTTTGGACTCCTTAGATGCCTGGGCCAGCTTGTCCCTGGCTGCAGCGGACAGGCGGTCCTCCAGTTTCTGCTTGGCTAAGGGCGAGGGGATACGAGAGAGTACAAACAGGTGAGAGATGCTCCCGTTTGGTTTTTTTAACCACAGCCGGATACAACTACAGTGACACGAGGAGGTGGCAAAGAGTGATCGTGCTCCGCTTTTCACTCTGCTGACCTCGTGACCACGAGGGAGGGAGAACAGGATGAAAGAGAGAGTGTGTTTCTCTTCTAAGAAATAAAAGAATATATAGACACAAAAAAAGTTTTTGCCCCGAATAATAAGGCCTCCCTATGTGGCGGGCACTTTTGAATAAAAGATTAATACAGAATCAAACTGGGAGGGGAGATGTGGGTGGGGAAGAGGAGACAGACGGCTGAGTGGAATTGGGTGATGTGATGGGAAAATATGCGCGGTTTTGACAGATGAGGAGATAAAGTGACAGAGACGGGTGGGGGGGACGGATGAGTAAAGAGAGCACACACCAATGAGATGAGTCACGCCGAGGAGCGGAATAAAGGAGACATGGAAAACGAGACGAGACGGTGAAGTCTAAAGCAAATGCTGGCGGAAAACAAGTTGTTGGGAGTTATGCAATCGCCGGGGCTACTGTCATCTCTCGGAGGTTAAACGGGCCCGATGCCGAGGCAAATCATATTTGAGTGCTGTGTAAACAGCAGCCAAGGCCGTGCTGCCTCGGCTGCCTCGGCAGTAACGTAATGTTGTTTTGAAACATTACATACGAGAAGCTGGAACATTCACCGCTTCTAGTTTCTCGTACGCGGACGTGCTCACGGCCTGCCAGCCATTCTCCTTTTAGCTCCATTTTGGGTCTCAGCCAACTCCTGAGGTTCATATCTGGCTCCTTAGAACATAAACTGTCCCCGATGCTCAATACCCAGTGGCACATTTGATCTGTCTGCTGTTCAGCAGGTAATGTCCAGTCAGTTTTTAGAGTTTTCAAAGAAAACAGAAGCCATAAACCACACTTTGAGAGGGCTGAGAGTAAAGCCAAACCGTAAAGTAAAAACTAGCCGTGAAGCCGAGGGGAGATGCATCTTTGGGTAAAATGATGGAGGGCGTATCGCTATGAGCAACCTCACACACATTTTAACGTTGTTTTCTGTGACCCATTCAATGAATGGATCACAGATAGCATCTATAATTACAGTATATCTACAACATTCCTAACTTCACATTGATTTAAGAAACATTGGCATTCAAAGTCTTCCACCACCACTATTAGAAATACACTAAGAAATGTTTGCAGCAACTTGAACGATTCATGTATTTATCGCTGGGAGCCGCTTTCATTGTGCGGCTGCTTTCCAGACCATTGCCAGAGATTAGCGCTGTGCTGCCGGCCACTGATTCTCCTGCTATCTGATCAAGTTAGGCCTGCTGACTGACAGCCACTTTGCCACACAGCAAAGCCAATTCAGCCAGCTATTTATTAGGTTCTTCCAGCCTCTCGCTCTGGCTGCCGTTCAGCTCGATATATATGAGAGAGAGAGAGAGAGAGAGAGAGAGAGAGAGAGAGAGAGAGAGAGAGAGCGCGTTACTCTCTGGGATTGTCCCGACGAACCTAAACGTGGAGCAAAGCGGTCCGGACACAAAAACAGCTAACCGTGAAAGTTATGTGATTTAAAGCTATTACAGGTTAGGCGATGGCGACGCGAAAAACATAAATACAGGAGTGTGTCAAGTGAAATAAACACAATGTTCAAACTTTGGCAAATAAATAATGTATTTGTGTAGGTCCGCTGTCAGTTTCTAGCATATCGAAATTGTTTTTTCCCGGACTGTGACATTATACTCGTGATAACATATTTCCCAAAAAAGCAGTAGCATGCTCGCCACATAGAGCAATCTAGTAAATCCCCAAACCTGATATTAAATCAATTATTTTCACAACTCAAACAAAATGACTTAATAAGAACTGTGCCTTGTAAAAAGGTATCCACTGTCGGTAAGACTTTTAATATTGCTTTTATCATTTGCATTTTTTTTCTTCCTGCAAAAGCATTTCAGATTTCATGACGAAGCCTTTGAGAGGCAGACATCTTGGGACCTACTCAAGGATTGAGTCATTAGTAATGATTAGTGGGATGACAGGGAAAAGGAATTTTTCTTACACCTTTAATATTTAGACTGTTTGTGCAACTGGATATCAAGTAGGGCCAAATTCATCTTCGAGAAAGGACAATTGCATCAGCATCACCCGTTTGTCATTTCATAGTTCAGCTGCGGTCCAAGGCAAAGCGTCCGATTTTGAAAGCTAAAAGACTACAAATGCATATTTTGGAGGGTGTGAAAGTATAACAAGATGCAATGAATCAACTTCCAATATAATAGCTTTCAGCTTCCAGTAGCAAAGCCTATTAGTTTTGAAATTAATAGCCGGTGATACGTTACAGCACATGAATATTTTAGAGATGTGCGGAACCTTGAAAATATAATTGCCAAAATGATGAGACAACTTTTTATGTATTCTTTCCCAATCCCTCACTCAGGAGATCTCTGTACAAAAAAAAGGCATGTTTACCAGCCAAGCGTGATGTTATTAGATAAGCTGAGTTAGATGCCATAGGTCCCGATGAAGATCCTGATCAGAGTGTAAACCTTTTATAGGACAAAGAATGCCCTCTGTGAGTGTGTGCGTTCTAACGTAGGCAAAAAAAAGTCAAGTGTTTGAGTGCAAAGTCACTGATGCGTTACTTTAGGTGAGGGGAAACAGAGGAGAGGGAGTGTGTAATACCACAAAGCCACGAGTGAACAAAGGAGTGAGACATAAATAGAGAGAATACATCTCCATTAGGCCTTTGGAGAGATCTGTGCGGTTGTTTGCGGTGCCACACTGCGGGGTACACACCGGTGAGACAATTCATTATTCAGACTCAACGGATTTATCCATCTCCGCTCGTCCTCTTTTGCCCACATTACAACCCTCCCACAAAGAAACGGCATGCCGGTGGGTGTGACGGAGGTGTCTTGTAAGCACCTGCACTTAGTCTGTGCTGTCACAGAGAATCTGCGCTTACTCTCGCAATATAGTCGGATTCAATTTTAATCATGTTCAGCCAAGTTATCACTCTTAAAATAATATTTTGTAGCAACCTGTTAACTTTTCACTATATCAATATTAGCTTGGCTAAAGCTGTGCATGATCAATGTTTGTGTTTGCAGTGATATATTTTTTTGAATATTAATACCTTGTTTTGCCTCCAACTCCTCCAAGCTGAGGGACGGTCTTTTGTCTTCGGGTGCAGTGACCGGAGCGGGGTCCTTATCGGCCATCATGGCTCCGCCCAACAGAGCTTCCAGCCCCTGATCGTCCAGCAACTTCAAAAGGCGAACATGGACGATGATTTATTGATAATGCCGTTTTTTCAATGCATACCAAAAATCACCCCTGGATCTGCGTGCATTGAACAGAGCTGGAACTGGACCTTGTCCTCGTCGGAGTCGTCGTCCAATCGCACCCGGTTCTTCTCCAGCGGCAGCATATCGGTTTCCTTCGCTTTGATGGCAAAACAGATGGGGGCAAAAGGGGCTGCGATGGCACAAAGAGACAGAAGGAGTAGTGTGGTTTAGAGAGAACAAAAAGTATTTAGAATAACCGATAAACAAATACGGCTTGGACATCAATTTTTTTCACCGTTTCAGAGCACAATGAGCCAAATGAAATAAAACTATTAGGCGTGCTTTTTTGGCAATGACAAGAGAACAAAAGGATAAAAGGGCAGGAGGAAGAATGAATAAAGGGATGGGCAGAGAAACCCCGAATAGAGGCGAGAAAAGACGCGGGAAAGTGCTGACGAATAATATGTTTGGGAGCGAAAGAGAGTTTACAAAACAGACGTACAGAAAGAGACGGGCGAAACCAACGGGACAAGAGGCATAATACAATGAAGGGAGAAGAGACCGACTGAGGGACAAACAAAAGCTGTTTGTCACGTTGATTCCTTTTTTACAATCAAACACAGAGAGTACAGAATGTGCCTCATTCCCTCAAGAAATAACCCTTATATCGGACTTTGATCCTTATTGTAGGAGGCCGGATAGTTTACTTGTGCACTACTCTGCGCAGTTATTAGTTTTCTTTGGCCTCCGCGAGCTGTCGCCCCAAAATGCATGCCTTCATTTGCATTTGTGCATGTTTATGGATCCCGCCGGCGTCGCGGTAAGTGGACGCTTTCATCTTTGCGTAGACATTTCCGAGACAATATCACCAAACAAAGGAGCAGACGTGAATACCATCCAGACTCCCAGGCAGCTCCGTGCGTAAACACCAACATATGAAACATGCACTCACATACAGTGAACATGTGCATGGGTGCTTACGTGGACATAGTTAACTGAAAGAATGAAGAGAAGCAGTGTGTTCTGTGCTCTTGTTCCTACCTTTTGCCACGTGGGCCGACGCGTCGGACTGAAGCGCATCGTCATCCGGAGTCTCATTCTGGACGGGACAGTGAAGAGAAGAGAAAGACAATAAATAATAAATGCAAACATACCTGTATCAATGTCCGTGTCCTATAAACTAACAATGTTTAGAGAATGTTGACAAGGCGTCTAAAGTTGTCTGTTTTTGTCTGCAGTATATCTCAATGTTATGAGCTTACCGGCAAGACGCGTGGTGCCAAAAATACATTTCTGTGGAAACCTACGGTTCTTGATTTCGACATGAACCACTTCTGTGACGGGTTAGAAGCACAGCAGTAATATGTGCACGTGGCGTCAGGGGCGCTTCTAAAGGAAACATCCGCAGGAGCTGCTTGCTATTTGGTTTGTCCCAGAAAAGGAAACTGCTGTGAATGCTCGCTGGTTGTGTAACACCAGCGGCGGATGGATGTTAAATGTTAGAACGCGTCACTCCTCTCCCAACGATTTCCAATTAAACTACAACTGTTGTGTCTAAATAACGTGATTAGTCATCTGGCCGGTTCCATCAGCGGTCAAGGTTTGCACCTCTCAAGTTGTCTCACTCCTGTGTCACGGATAATGTGGCTGTGGAGGAGAAACAAAGAGCAACTGCCGAGAACAATAACTTCTGTACGTGGCCGAGCTGATACCTTTAAGTGCATTGCTGTAGCGAAGGAATTGGGTAGAAAAGAAAAGGTCAATGCACCATTAAAAGCTTGCGAACGACTGTTCAGTCGAGCCAATCTTCTAAGATGAAAGACTTGATTTCATACCGTCAGAGCACAGTAGTGGGAAGTCAGAAAAGAAGCAGACAATGGAAACGATTAACTTGTGTGCAGCAGCAGTCTCTAAAGGAGCCCACACATCTCCTTCACTCACTTAAGCAAGAAATTGTCCATGTATACTGGTCATGATTGATGAAGACATCTATACAAAGACTGAGATATATCAATACATATTATATGTTTATATTTATTCTAATTAACTGCACTAATTGCAACGGGACACCCCCTTATTCTATACTGCAATGGTTATTGTCTGATATCCTTTGGGACATAAAAATCAAAAATATTTTAACCAGTGGACTGTAACATTTAAACATCATCTATGTCACCTACCTTTACCAGCTGTAGAGATGTGCATATCTGATAAAGGATCGATTCATATCACGATAAGTGTAGAAAACAACAACAAATGAACGGCTAACTTTTTATACGGAATACAAGTAGTTACTTACACAGCTTTGACTGCCTCCAATCTGTTCTCAAAAATCCTACCGTATGATCTATCAAAACAATTTCATAGAGCTTGGTAATTTGCAAAGGTCATTAAACCACAAACGCTCTGTAGTGGTACCTGTGCCCCGAGTCGCTATCCTAAATACAACCTTCCGATGGGATGACAGGTCAGACTGGGGATGCGGCCGATGCCTCACGTGTCTTCCCATGTTTGAAGGATGCTTCAAAAGGAAGCATCCGATGCGGCTGTAAATTTAACAGTGCTTTCAAAAGTCAAAGCACTTTACAGACGGCCCGAGAGAATATAACTTCTATAAAAAAAACAACTCTAAAAATCAAAGCTCACGGGAGAAGCAGAAGGAAGAAAAAACACTCTAGAAAAAGAAAAAAAAAGGCTCATCATTTGGAGTTTGCAGGAACGCTATTGTGTTCACATACAAAGCTAAGCTTTAGCTCAGCCTTTGGAATCCTGGGATTACTTGTTTCACATGCGTGGCTGTGTAGACACAGGGCAGTTTAGATAATAATAATCCTCCACTCTGGATGAAAACATGAACCAGTGTTTCACAGCGGAGCTGCAGAACCTGCGCTAGTTGGAGATCACCAGCTTTACAGGAAGGTGTAATCTACAATAGAAAAACCAAGATTAGCTTTACATTGTGCTAGAAGGACGGGCACGTTCACATGACCAGTGTTTGACCTCTCCCCAAAGGAACGGCTTGTTAAATAATAAATAAATACATTTTAGCTTAATTCAAAAATCAAATGAATGATAATTTGCATTGTTCTACTTTGTGTTTATGCGGTTTTAAGTAAAATGCCGAGCCAAAGGAAGAACATTACATTAAATGTTAAAACGTTAAATGATCCGCTCTGTCATTGAGACTTCATTTGAATGCATTTAGTAATCGAGCAAACTCGTCTCCCTGTTGTGATGTTCTCATAAATGTGAGTTCACATTAAGTGACCTATTTATTGCCTGCAATGCAATCAAGTTTTCGAGTTTTGAGGCAGTCAGTCGCATATTAACCACAAAGGCTCTGGCGAATCCACACAGGTTCTGCTCGATTCTACCAAAACAAACAACGGGAGCCGCTCAGGAGTGAAGCGGGACTTCTATGAAAGCATCAAAGACTCTAAACAACTTCTGAGAAGATCTCTCTAAACAGGAGGTACACACACACACACACACCTTTCACAATTTACAAAATGCTTCTCTTTTGAGGAGAGTGGCACATTCTGAAGATCGTGAAGATTAGAATGAAAACAGCAGTTAGTCGCCTGACTTTAGCTCAGTCTCACTTTTTCATTAACTATGAAAAGATCAAATATAGTGCTGGCTGAGAGGGACGTTATCGGCCTCCCAATACCCACAGTGCAAAACACAGGGCAGGTTTTTTTTGTTAGAAAAGCTGAGCAGCAGCTTGTTGGAGTGGCCTGAGCGGTGTCATAATCACATTCCTCCGCACTCTGAAAAGCAAGTGGGTTTGAGTCATCTTGAAAACGAATTACAAAAACCCACTTGTCACTTTCTACCTCTCCCCCCCAAACCAGACTCACGATGCACGACGACGCTTCGGAGAGGAGCCACAGGGACGCATAAGTGAAATACATTCGTGTATCTACGTCCCGAGCAATAAACTCGCCAAGTAGATACACAAATGTATTTGCCCACATACCCCTACAATCACTATTAATTCCCCCGTCTGAGAGAGACGGTGGCTGGATGGCGCTGCTGTGAACTCAGGCACGCTGATCGAATACAGATGACGGAACGCCAAAGCAGCACAGCGATGAGACCTGGAAAACGCTCGCACTGAGATGTACTCTGACACGTTCTGGCAGATTCTTGTTTTTTTTTTTTTTGGGGGGGGGGGCGAATAACTGCAAAACAAACCGAACTAAGAAAGATACTCCTTTAGTAGTCCCGCAGCGGGGAAATTCACGCCTGATGTCGAAAGCCTTGAGAAGCACCTGGTGACAAAATGCACTGTCCATTCATCTTAGTTGGAGTTATGAGAGGGGTTTTCCCATTCACAGTCCATTTCATTTTTAATGTTTCTCCCCACTCAGGCTCACATGAGGGTTGTCACAATACCAAATTATGACTTTGAAACAATACCTTTGAAACTATAAATATAATGATACTCGATACAATACTACAGGTACGGTACAATACCACAAAAATACTAGTATATCTATAATAGCAAAAAATGAAACATCTGTATGGTTTCTTTTTTTACCAGCTTATTCCCGCCCATCTTTTTTAACACTTTTTATCCCAACAAATGACATTAATGTTAGTATTAGCCTACAGCAAGATGTTATTGAAAACTACAGGGGACCATCGTAGCATTTCTTCCCTCGATTGATTGATGAAAGACTAATTACACTACAACAATTTCCACGGCAGCAATGTTGTTACTCTCTCTTGTTTTTATCATATATTCACTCATCGGTTTTTATCAAGATGATTTATGATAAAATTGTGGTGGGTTAGGGACCTTTAGAATGACTGAACTGTGCACAAGTTCATGGCGATGTGGTAATTGTAATGGTCAACTGTATCCAACAAACTCAAGACGGACATAGGCCGTTATTGGTGAACTGGAGGCAATCTCCCCGATTTTTATGCACAAACAAGCAAACAAACACACACACATGCATACAGATATATTAAATGCTTGCATTACCTCTGGGAAGCTTTTTCCTTCTTTCTGCAAAAAGTAATTCTTCTTAAACTCATAATAGGTGTTGTACTGATTCCAAGACTGCAGGAAGTCAAACCTACAGTAGACGGAGGGAAGAACACAAGCGTTTGAGATGAGAGGTGAGCACTCCCAAAGGACAAACCAGAAGATGATGAAGAGTGCAATATCTGAGGGGAGAGTCACTGAAAAGAGTTTCTAAAAAAACACGATGTGACCAGAGGCCACAGATTTATTGCTGCTAAGGACACTTACCGTGGATCATTCTTGGCACGGACACTGGCCTCAAACTTAAGGCCGTTCCTTGCCACGTACTCGGCCAGCTTGTCGATGACGGGCTGGGTGTCGGGTGGTGGGGGGATGATGGCCGGCGTTGCTGGCGTGCAAACCGGAGCTTCGGGTTTTGAACTGTTTTTTGGGGGGGAAATTGTTCAGATGAGGGAAACATTTCATCAACTTTGTAGCACTTAAATTGTACTTGTAATGACATGTAATGTAATGTAACTTACACTGTTCATTTAAATGATATTGCATTATGCCACTTGATTTTTGACCAGGCAAACTACCAGCAGGGCTTGTCACGCTGGGATGCCCATTACTTCCTACCTGGTCTCTGGTAGAACAGCGGGAGCCGCAGAGACGGCGACCTGAGAGGGGGCTGGAGCTGGAGCTGCCGCTGCCACGGCAACCGTTTCAGACTGGGAGGGTGTGGTTCCCAGATTAGGTGAGGCCTCAGAAGCTGTCGCGGGCCCCATGACACCTGGGGGCATGCTGCTATAGTAGGCGCTGGCATCTATCCCTGGGGGAGGCGGAGCCAAGCAGAAGGTGCCATCCGGGAGCATGTAGTAGCCGTAGTACGTTGCAGCTGCATTTGCTGGATAGAAAAGATGGGGACAATATTTCACACTGTATACAATTCCACCCGATCCACAAAGCATTATAAGAGAGAGGTAGTATAACAGACTGTCTGTTTTTTTTATCCAAGAAATCATTTATAAAACAACATCATTTAATTTTCTCACTTAATGTCATGCCAACTGCTTTCCACTGTGGCTTTCACACAAGCTCTTACTACAGCAAAAGCTGAGACGTCCCTTTAAAAGGCAAATAGTTTGTATGGTACTGTGGTGCTTTACAGTGCAGGATATTATTCTTGTGTCCATTCCCCGTGTAGTTAAGTTGGCAAGAAACTAAGTACAGAGAAACAATTGCTTAATGTGAAATGATGGTGCTCCAAGCGATGCTTTAATTCCTTACAGAGAATTTTCTTGGCAATCTTTTTATTTATTTGTACCTATTTTCACCAATTGTGCCAATTGAAATACAAACTGTCAAAATCAGGCTCCACCATTGCCGTGTTTGTCACTGTGTGGAAATTACATTGCATGGAAAACATTCGACATTCGGCTTAACATACGTTAAGAATAAGCAGTGTTTTTTTACTATAGATATAAAAGTGTTTTAGATTTGGTGTTTTGTATAAACTGACACAGAACAAATGTAGTGACCACAATTACTCAAACTAAGCTGCTACTGAAGGAGCTTACATTTTAAGATTTCAATGTTTTTAAGCTTCAGAACGTATATTTATTAAGAGTAGCGGCAAAGGGTAAGCAGCTTCCTCAGTGTGAGGATGCGTTTTTTGGTGTTCAGATTCATTCAAATCAGCGGCGGGAAGAGAATATATATCAATATGTGACGTATGCGTGAAAAGCTCATCTCGCTTATCAGCGGGTTTGTGTTACAAAGTTTGTTATTGAAAAGAGAATGGGGAACGGGAGGGGTGAAGAGCGGGACAAGGACAAAACAAATTGTCAAAGCCGTCAACAGTGTGATATTAACACATTAGTCACTGCGGTTGTTGCCTTTCATGACGCGTCCAATTTTCTCCGGTAAGGAAAATGGAAAAGCACAACAGGAGCATTAATTTACGCCCTCGACGTGTGTCAAAAATTGAGATAACGGCTTAGAAGGCGTAGAAATGGTCAAAAAGGAAATCTAGTTGAATGGTTTTGTCAGACGGATGGATCGCCACATCGATGGATCAGATTCAGGCTAGATTCAGTTCATGGATCGCCTTTAGTGTTGAAGTTACTTTATTGTCTCCGGAGCTGCGCTCATCTCAGGGTCAGAGGCAGTAATTAATACAGTACATTACGGCAGACAACCCAGTACGAAAGAGATAATGGAGCAACTCGTTATCCACACCCTGTATTAACATTGCGCGTGGGACGACAGAACTGCTCAGAAAGGACAAGAGAAAGCGTTTTCGTTGGGCAAATTAGCAGACCCCCATATTGAGCAACAATGCATAGCAATGGCATTCAGCAGCCGGGTCACCCGCAAGCCATTCAGTAATATCAACGGCCCTATTCCTGCAGCAGGGAAAAGGTCAAAGGGCAGCCTCCAAGACTGACTGAGGAACTAATAAATTGCAGTAATGGACAAGTTGGCGCTGACGGTTCAGCGGGGGCCAACAACCACGGGTTTATTTAAGCGACCATTTCAGGGGAGGAAGAAGACATAAATGGAAGTACTTAAGGATAAGTGTGATGAATACTGTGGAGTGTGACTCAACATGGATGGATACGGGTATGACCCTGCATGCCGTCCATGAGCCAGACACTCAACAGAAGCGCTGTTGTTTTATTTAATTCATTTAACAGATGTATTATTTATTGATCTTAATTTGATAATTCATCATATTCTGTGTCGTATGGGTCAATTCAACATCTAAAAGACCTGCCGCGTGACTTTTATTAGACATTTAAAACCCAACATCTGTATTTAATGAGAGGTTGCATTGCAAGAAGTAACTATGTATATTCCTTGAGTTTCTATACTTATGTCCGTTCTACTTCCTTATGTTGTCATTGTTTTTTTTATTTTTAGTGTTTATTACTGCAGTGAACAAAGTGAAAACCGGAATCTAATTCCCTGTAAGCATCCGTGGCCAATAAAGCTGATTCTCATTCTAGCCTTGAGCAATTTAAACTCACTAATCTTGCAAAAACATATTTTCTGGTCATGAATCTATAATAAAGTTTTCACATTGCCTTTGATGCGATATCAAAAAAGAGAGGAATCAAAATCAGTGATTTGTTGTGTTTTGGTCGAGGCGCTGCATGTGTCACGTCCACGGAAGCTTTTTGGAGCCTGGCTAATAGGCCGATTGAAATGTCGCGCACACCAAGAACACGTATCAATTGAATTCTTATCAGCGGCGCAGCCCGGGTGGAATAGAAAGTGTCGAACTTCTCAGCTCGATTTGACTTTGACTTTGTTGAGAATGCCTTTTTTTTATCAATAATAGATTATGCTCAGCATTAATTAGTGGGGAGCTTTATTAAACAAATAGCAGTGGCAGAACGCTACAAGCAGAAAGAGCTCACTTTTTCGGTGTGAGGGCTGAGTGGAGGGCGATGGAAAGTTCTGTTGGGCTCTGCATGTAAACTGGTGGGGATCCAGGCTGGCTGGGATGTTGTTTTTGATGTGCTGAGGAAGCACTTCATCAGAATGGGGGCGGGGGGGTTGCGCCAAAAGGGCGGCAGCTACGTAGACTGGACACTGCAGACCTTTTAGGTGCTGGCATGATTGCGTGCACAAGCATTTTTATTAAAAAACACAGCTACGAAAGTTTATAGTCAGACCTGCCGTGCCCCTCTTATTCAATTTCATAGATTTGGCACCGATGCACAAGTGGAATGGAGTCAAAATGACGTAATCATTTTATTATAATCCTTGCTGCAGAGTATGTGGATGACATCTGCTGCCAGGAAGTTTACATCGACCAAAGCTGTTGGCGAGCAGTGCATCTCCGGTCCGTACTCACGCTCAGCGTTGAACTGCGCCGGTGTGCCGGAGACAACTGGGTCCGCCACGTCTTCTGCTTTGGTTGCCACCGTTGCTGTGCCGTTCCTTTCCTGTCGGGCTTTCAGTACGAGTGCTGCCAGAGGATGGTCTGGGTCCATTACTTGAAGAGGCTGGGGTAGATGAAAGGTGGTTTGATGAAGAACATTATCACACCGTGATATTTTCCTGTAAAAGCCGTTGAAATCACACCGTGTCCGTATTGTGGGAGAGACTGAGCCGTTTCAGAGTTGTATCAAAATAAATACGGCACATATTCAAAGATGTGAAATCAGAACCTGTGAAATACAAAAAAGTAAAAGAGTACAATTCTGCCATTACATACATAATTTTATAGTTATCCCCATGAAATATGGACTAAGAAGCCCGGCTAGAAAACCAGAGTGGCTGATGAGAAGTGGAAAGCTCTGTTAATGGGAAGCAACTGTCGGACCGCTTCGTATTAAAAGGAGCTCATTATGTTTAAAAAAAAAAAAAAGATGAACGTGCCTCCACGCTTTACACTGCTCTGTCAAAGACTAATGACCAACCTGACAATGTACATGAAACCACTGGCAAGAAACACAAACAGCAAAATAGTTATTAACAGAATGCAGTTAGAGACACGGAGGAGCGAACAGCATACAAGTGCGATTCACTTGGCACGAATCAGTTAGAATTGGCAGCATACTAAAATATTTTCAGTTTGATCAGTGTCCAATAACAGCAAACATCAAATTGCCTAAAAGGCTGTTTATCCTTGACTTATTGAAATGTTTTGGATATTTTCACAAGACAGCGTCCCGATATTAAGTAGCAACTGTGTCCGACAGGTGAAGTTCCACATTGGGGGGCGGGCAACATTCTATTTACGTTACCTTCACCAGCTCCTCCAGGCGAGAACACCTTTTAGGGGCAAACAGGCTGGGATGGAGGTAATTGCCGTCCCCGTCGTCATCTGAATCATCAGAGTTCGATTCTACATGAAGCAAACAACAAGAACAATATGATGAATATTTGTATGAGCAAGTGTTTAAAGCCATAATCAATGCACGGCATTGATGTACCTCACGTATTACCATGTCGATCGCTCATGTGGAACAGATATTGCTGCATTATTTGCAGTATGTGACTGTTGACACAGGCGGCTTTCTGCAACTCACCCTGCGACTGCTCATGCTTCTTGGCGGAGACAATGTTGTATCGACCTTCCTTCATGGCCCGCAGGATGTGTTTGTAATAAGGGTTCAAGTAATGGTCAAAGCGAAGAAAGTCAAACTGGGAGTTGTTGGACTGCTTAGCTTTCAGGACGATCTCAAACTGAGCCCCCTGCTGAGATACAAATTTGGCGGTCTTCTCGATGATGTTGTGGGTCTTGATGGTTGCCGGCTACAAAAGCAAGGGCACAAAAATGAGCAGGTATGTTTTAAAATGAATGTGTCCAATTCTAAAAATCATTGAAACTGCTTTTTAATGTGCAAAAAAACTATAACAATATCTTGCAGAAGCACTTAAAACTCTATTTAACTATTTAACACGAGATATGCGGATAGAAACAAATCACATCTAAAAACGCTTTGACATACAGCGAGAAAATAGCCATGTGTTGATGTTGATGAGCAAAGACATGGAGTAACAGGTCTTTTGACAATTTCAACAAAAAATATATGGGCTGAACAAACTTTCAGTTTAAGGTGAATCTATAACAGAAATGTTTTACAATTAAGAATTGGTGAACTGTGTACTGTGCCTCAGGCTTCCATCTTCTGGATGAATTAAATATCTTAAAGATGCATAATATATATCCCCCCCCAGTGATGCTTGCATGAAGAAATGCAGTCTTCTGGCTCAAACAGTGGAGTGATGCTAGCAATAGTCTGTGTTGTAGGTGTAATTTGTATTGTATACTAATGGGTTGCCGGTAAATGCAATAGAACGTGTTGCTGAATGTAGCAAGCATGGTTGTAATTCAATTAAATGGGTATACATTTAAAAAATAAAAATCTATTCTCATTTTTGGATCAAAAAGGGATGGCTTCTATTTTGAAAGTGGGCCGAATTCCCGAGCAGGTGTATAGGCTTTTTTCCTTCTTTAAACCGTCTTATTATTGGCCTTTAAAAATGTTGTTGGCCTCAACAATTTACAAGCGTTTGAGTCAAGTGAGTGGACCTTATGGCACATAACATTAGAACGTAGTCCACCCATTGTGAAAAGCTTATTTTTTGGACCGAAGGCATTTTCATGCTAAGCATTCTTCATTTCATTTCAATGACATTAATTGACATAATTAAATAAACATTGGGTGAAAATCAGAGAAACAAGAAATTATCAATTATTCATTCCTTATTATGTCCATTGTGTGTTTTTAATGATTACCAATTACCAAAAGAGTGCAGGAATTTCATGAATAGATGAATAAATATCATCTACATTAGGATAAGTCCCACATTCAGACATGACATTCTGTTAATTGTTGCTGTCCACTAGAGCTCTGACAAGCGGTTCGAGATGTACCCATGGAGACGCACAAAGAATACACACTATGTAGACACATTATGCAACCAAATATCACAAAGCGGCTAAATGGGAAGCAATTGCAGCGTCTGCAGGCCTACGTACAGTGGACCCCCCCTATGCATGTCCATTTGTATGTGTTGTGTAGATATAAACAGGGAATGAGGCGCACAATAGGGCATCAGTGTATTTAACACTCACCAGTTCCACGTCAGGAGGGATGGCGAGTCCCGGGGGAGCAATAAAAGGTTCCTCGTTCTCCTCAGGCTCTGCCTCTTCTATGCATGCGAGGAGATAATTGGGCAAAAAGAATAAGATGAACTTGTGTTAGTCATTTGTAATGAAAAGTAAAAAAAGCTACAACTTGGGATTCATTTTGAATGCTTAAAGCGTTTTAAAAGAGGTGTGACCCACGTGCTCTCAATTATTCTCTCTGTTGTACAAATACCTGCCTCTGCACTGGGAAATAATGTACAGGTCAGGTGGAAACTAGATGAGGAATTTGCTCCTCAATTCAGAGACACAAATGGGTAAAAGAATCATTCCCAGCCACCCCATAGATTCCACGTATTAGTTGAGCCACAACAATAGTTTTAAAATCATCTTTTGGCTGAGGCTGAAAGCTGAGCAGCTTTCACATCACGTTCTCCATCCGGTCTCACATCTCAACTCCAATTTAGCGACGATATAAAGGCCCCTACAACAGTGTTCCGACTTCTTAAAGAAGAAGACGCAGATTGAATCAGCACAAAGGAAATGGAGAGCAAATATAGCTTTTCCATAGAAATCCCTTTGAAGTAAAGCTAGTCAACATTTTTGAGAAGTTATCCTTTTAATTTATTGTGGTAATTTATCAGGGTTTTCATCATACAAACAATATTTCAAGTGAGAAGGAAAATAACGTTTGTATTTGTATTGCTTAAAATCTTTTTACTATACGCTGCTTAGAGCTACAGCTAGATAGTCAAACATGAAACATATCTAATATTCACATTGTTGTGAAAAAAGTTTCTCACCAACTTCGCATTTCACAAAAATACATTTGAACACTTTGTAAATGTGTTCATTTAACTTCGTGCAATACTCATTTTCACTGAACAGCGCCTGAACCATCAAAACGTAACTGAACCTTCTTTAGTTTCCCATTAGCGATGCGGCCCCCATCAACGCGGATTGGTTGTTTACAACGCAACGGAGACCGCCAACGAGAAAACCATGAATGTCGATGTTACTTATGATTGCATATTATAATGAAAATTGGCAGGTAACGATCGTCAGCAAGACTTTATTTCACACTCGTGGTCAACGCTAGACTACTTTTCAAAGCTAGTCACACATTGACCCAGCAGCATCTTACACGGATTTTTCTGTATTTTTGAGATAACGGCGAGGACCATGAAAAAGGGAAAGCCAAACAAATGGGTAAGCAAACAAAATGTTAAGGGCCAGTGTTGCATGAACCTTGTTTACTTACTCCCAACGGACCAATTCTACTCACGTCGGGAGGCTTTTTTGGCAGATGTAATCATAACGTGCAATGGCTCTGCTCTCTCCCCAGGGAGAAGCATTTAGTCTGCATAACTGTCAGGCACTGGCCGAGACAGAGTGCTTCTAACTATCCACATGAAATATTAAAAATCGCATGTGTGTGTCCGTTTGCGTGTGTGCGTCAAGTCAGATGTGAGTGGGCGACAACCAGGGTTTAACATTTATTGCGCAACAACTTAAGGGATTCAATAAAAGAGTTCTAGGTCGGTTTCATGGTATCCTTCTGTAATATTTAATCGTGTTTGAATGTCTTTGATGCGTTCATTGTGTCCGCTGCAGGCAGATCATTTACCGAGGCAGTCCACGTGAGGTCGGATATTTGCAGATGGTCGTATGGATTAGAATAGTTCAAAAAGAAGACATGGATTAGAAACGTATTAGACAGACCTTCTGTGTGCATCACAGCAGATGACAGAGTCAAGCAGCTAAGAAAAGAGTAAGATCCCAGATTTGTAGGGATCATTTTTGGGGGGGTTTGCGCACCCTGCTGTGAGTCATCTCTACTGATTGTGTTGCGTTGCTCCAACACAACGTGTGCGTGCATGTGGGAGTGCGTCCGTAAATACTCTCTGTAGACGTACGTGATCACCGGACCGAGCTACCTGACTGGTTTGCGAGTGACGTGTTCTCACCGCATTCCCTGTTGGCTTCGTCCTCCACGGTGGGCTGAGAGGGATCGTAGTAGTCCGCGCTGTATTTGAAGGCCACTGCGTTGTAGGTGCCTTCATCAGCCAGAGCCTCACTCAGACGTTTGTACTCCTCCTCTGAGCAAGACGACACATGGTGAAGAAGCATGTACAACAAGGTCGATAATCATTCTGACATCAGATCAAAGAAATACAAGGTCTTCTAATACCAAAGTAGCAGTGGATCACTCAAAATGGCATTTTCAAAACCTTGAGTATATTTTTGTTTGGCTTGAATCAGTGAAGGAGTTTGCCCCTTTGTTTAGTATCTTTGCATTTGAAAGAGGAGAAGAAGCATTGCTGCAAAACCACAGGAAGAAGGTGCAGAACAAGGTGGTGTTTGCCCAAATATCAATGGGGCAACTCAGACCCCAGTTTATTCTGGCCAGCTGATAGCAACTGTTGATTTCACTCATCACTCACTCCCTCAACCTTTAAGAATACACATTGCAGTTTGGTCACGTTTAATAGGTATATATGATTATTTGCTATTTTGACCAAAACAGTCATTCTATGACTGTTGGCATTTATATATTTGGATTGAAATATGTCCCACTGATATTAACAGATGACAGGTTTTTACATAGTAAGATAAATAGTGTTAATGATGCCATGAAAATTACTTGTGACCGAAATGATAGTCCTTGTACAAGCGCACTGATCATTGGGAAAGAGAATTACTGCTGGTTAGATAAATACACATGGTTATTTGGCCTTGGACACCAAACCTTTCCAATTGAAATTCATGGCAAACTATATCTTATAAAAGTAGCAAGGGCAAAATTGCCACTAAAAATATCAATATTTCTAATGCTTTCCTCCTGCTGTCCCTTCAGCGGACAGACGGGTAATGGCCTAAGTGAATGGGGTCAGGCCTCCAAAACCAAGGACAAACTGGCCTGGGGGATGAACCTTCTGCACTAACTGCGTGTGTGTGTGTGTGTGTGTGTGTGTGTGTGTGTGTGTGTGTGTGTGTGTGTGTGTGTGTGTGTGTGTGTGTGTGTGTGAGACACAAATAATTAGCTCACTAATTCTGTCCTGTCGGTTTAGGAATGAGACCCCATATTTCACATGAAACTGTGGCTTATCAATTACATTACAGTCATAAAGTCTGTCTTTCAGAAAGGTGCTTTGTCATCAAAACAGCCGGTTTCATTATAATGTAAAACGACTGAGATGCAAGTATCCGAGGGTTGAAAGTGATTTCCATAGAAATGGCAGCTGTTGAGCTCAGAGTCAAAGACAGTCCTTTTTAAGGAGATGAAAAGCTGAAAACGTCTTAGAGGGGGCGGGAAATCATCATTTTGGAAGCCAAGATTGAAGTACATCCTATTCTGTCCGTACGGGCAGGTTTTTCATATTGGCGTGTAACTAGAGGAGTTTTAGATTAAAGATAATTCAAACCCTGACTGCCTGCCTAGAAAGAGAGTGACCACTTTATCTTTGAAAGTAAAAGACAGAAATCAGTAGCAAAAGGCAGAAATAAAGAACACAGTGTCAAAGATTCGGGAGCTTTTGGAGTTGACAGCTGTTGGCAGCATACGTGCAGCGGTTCCCCTCGCTAAGTCTGGAATTTTCTTTTTGAAGTCTGAAGCAATTGTCCACTCCTCACTACGCACGGCGCGTACGCAGACATGCGCGCACGCCCCCACCGTCCCGCCGGCCGGTCCGTTCGCCTACTGCTGCCATTTGGAATTAATATCAGCAAGCACCTAGCTGTCTAAGCATCATAAGGGATATATCGCGGCAATGAACAAATATATTTTGCACAGTAAACAGGAATTGCTCCTGTTTAATTTCTGTCCCTTTGAGTTTCTAATTTCAGCAAGTTACACAGTTATCGCATTAGTTAGTTTGTTAATTCGTTCAGGACTTCCCTGTTGCTCATTACCCCGCCTTGTCATTAGATGGTGGGGCGAAGGATCCTAACGGGTGACTGAGGGGCCCGCAAAACCTATAACAGGATTTCTACACTGTCTGCTGGGTAGCTGCCTTCATCAAACAGCGATAACTAACTCGAGAAACAAAGGGATACGCACAGATCAGAATCATCCGGCACGACCCATAAGTGCGTGTCAGAACTGGCGCCGCGCCCACCTTGTCTGGCCTCCTCCTCCAGCAGGTCGGTGTGCAGAGCCAGGTACCTCTCCTCATCCAACAGCGCCTCGATCCTTGCCTCCTCCTCCGACAGCTGGTAGGACGTATTCCATGAGCCGCTGTCATACTCTGAGAGGTCGTGTAAGTGACCACGGCCATCGTATCTGTCGGATGATAACAAGGATTAGAGGGATGGGAGTCGACAAGGCGTGTTGTACACAATATGCACCTACTTACCGAGGGAGGGGAACCGAAAACCCCAAATTTACATTAAAATGCTCTACCTGCAAGTCTGTCTAGGAGTATGAGTATACATGTAAAATGCTTTATGGTAAAATGTATCAAAATGCAGACAATGTAACAATGTACGAAGTCCTTGGGCTTAATTGTTGATTGTGCTCTTATGATACCTAGCAAGCTCTCTGTTGCTATTTCGTTCTTGGACAAGTATTACACGGCAACAACCTTAGATCAAAAGAAAAACAAACAAACAAAAAAGAGATCAAACAAAGCAACTCGCCTCTTACCTTACAGGGTTCATTCCCCCCTGTAACACTCACCACTACGTCTACATCTGCAAAGAGAGTTACATTCACACAAGCCCGAGCACATAAATACCTATCCGCAAGAACCCAAATGGACGACATTTTCCAGGGTTCGTCCCTCTACGGCACTTCTCAGTGGCAGTTTCTTCACGAAGACAAAGAAATGGGGTGCTGTGGTTGGCATTCGGGGTTTGGCCGGACCCCTTAGCCTACCTTGCTGGGGGGGAAACTGGGTTATGTTATAAAAGACACACATACAAAGGCTTTACAAATGAAAACACAAGTTGGGTCACCGCAGATCAAGGTGATTCAAATAAAGAAATGCATTATTTTAAGATTAGAATATGGTTATTATGTGCTCCGCACGTGGGACAGATATGGCATGCAGCCATCGGTTTCGCAGTGATGTTAAACCGTTTTACACACCGTTTAGAATTGGCATTGAGCTATTTTGAATCACCTTAACTGCTGTAACTTTAGTCTTGGTTCGAATTTGCTCTGGCCTTGTGGACTGCGGCAGTGCATAGCTTTGTGTACACTGTTCTGCTAGACTTCATTTAGGAAAGGAAGGAGAGAGAGAGAGAGATAGGGAAACATCTTGTGTGTTGTACTCCATCATTTTTATTCTACTATTATGTAGGCCTGTGCAAACGTTTCCAGGAAAAATGATCCCCAACATGCCAAGATGCAAAGCCCACTTTAAGGCAACAGTCTTAAGAGGTTGTGGAATTTAAATATATTTGCATTAGTCTTTTAAGCAGACGCCATTACCAGTGCATGAAGTACACAGCACAATGTAATGCAGCGAGATAATTATCAGCTCTCAACAATCCACAATCACCGTGATACAATGTTTTCTTTACTGTGTTGACATGTTGTGTCGGACTGCAGCAGCTTTAGCTAGGCTAATGTTAGCAAACCATCAGGAGTTTGCATCTCGACAAGTTATTCTAGAGACATCAGACACACGCATTTCGTTGGTCAGTTCAAGACATCCAAAAACAGGCCAACATAGAAGGAATAAAACATTCGTCGCCAGCTGCAGGTATTTCCAAGCTTCTGCAAAACAAGCTCCAAGTGGTCCCTTGAACGTTGGGGCTAACTGGAAGGACAGATGGTTAGCATAATGGTTCGGTCTAAGTTTGTTCAACCGACCTATCAATCATGATGCTCTTTTCCCCCATCCATGGGATGAGATGTTTTCCGTGTTCATGGTAAAGCGCCTTTTCGTCGTCTGGAAACAGTTTGCAGGCGTATCCGAAGACCAAGAGGTCGGCGTATTTATCACTGTCACTCACATCCTTCTTCACAGGTTTGTTGTTGTGGTCCTTCTTTGCCGCTCCGCGACGATACATTTCCCAATTACTCGCTAGAGCCGAATGGCCAAATAAAATGGTTAGAAACAGTATAGAGACGGATTTCTGGTAAGCAAATAGCTTTCATGTGGTCCAAATGTTAGAATAATCCGTGATGTTGCAGCCCAAAACTATTCTACGTGCCGTCCGTCGCCATGTTGGAAAGGAGGCAAATGCACTTACGTATCCAGTCTGCGCTTTCGACAATGTTTCTACTTTCTTAACATTTGCTTGGATGAGATACAATTGTCAGTAAGAAAAAGCTATTCATTTATTTACACCATATATTTTATTTAAAATTTTAAAATGGAGTATATGAATCGTATTTTGCCTGTAAAGTAATTTGCGGTTTGCCGAATGTACTGGTGCTGAATGGATGTGACTGAAAACTCTCAACCCTGCATTATCGGTGCGTGGAGCAATAAGGGTCAAAGTCATGAGTGCACTTGGGTTTAAATGTATTCCCATTATCCCCAGACAAAGATATATTACTGTAAATTACCTGACAGAGTGTGTATACATGATATACTCACATTTGTTGGCATAAAAAAATAGATATACATATTAATTCTCTACTAAAATGAGGGAATCCAGCTCTGTAACCACAAAGCCTTCTCTCCTCACTAGCCTTTTCAAACGCATAGCACCCAGTTTCTTTGTGCTACCTCACCCATTTAACCATCACAGCCTTGAAGAGAACATTTGGCGACCAAATGATGATGTTGAAGAAGCCGATCCGCACATCAGTGCTCACCTTGTTCAGGTGAGAGAATGGCCTTTGCAGCCACGAGACAACCGAATGGCATTTTTACACACCCCATCTCTTGGTAAGAACACAGTAGTGGATGTTGGACCTGGGATTTATGAAGAGACAGCTGCAGCCGAGCTGAGGTCTTAATTAAATGTGACGATTTAAGCAATCTAGGACAAAAGTTATCCCTGAGTAATAAGTTGTAACTTGGTTGTGTCCCTGAGGTTAATTTACAGTTATATTTTTAGACGGATAAACTAAGATCAATAGTGGAAAACATGTTACGGCTTCCTGGTCCTGTTCATGTCCTTTTCAAGCATGCATCTATAAGCTCTTAGACACATCTTTCAGGGCAGATGGTAGAATTGAAGCAGTAGGCCTAGGCCTACAGTCTTTTGCTTTTTTTGAGCAATCCAGCCCAAATATTTTGGGAATAAATAGCGCAGAGCCAAAGACTTGTGCAACCTTTCTCTCAATATGTTAATGGACTTACCTTTTGTAGAACCTTTTTGCAATTTGCTCCTAAAATGTTTTCTATCAGCAACAGCTCCTCCCACGAGAATACGTTAACTATCTGACCTACACAGCCACCGGAGAGGTCTGAATAAGTGCTAACACGTAAAACAATCACACTTAATGGAGATGAGTGGATGAATGTGGTGCAAAGATAATTGCATTAATTTCCCAAACACTCAGTGTGGGACTGAAGTGATTTATTATGATCATTAAAATGTAAATGAAAAAGCACAATTTAAAAAAAACCTGCCCCTGGAAATAAAGCACACAAAACAAAAATAACATCTGTAGTTGACCATTCATTTGTCTCACTCTCCATTACGGTTGTCCAAGGGAGGTGGACTCGCACTAAAGTGAACACAGATCAGTTGCCTGAACATAGTGGCGATTCCGTTTAGCTCGCAGCCAGATTGTACAGCAGCAAACTAAGCATGTCATGTGTTAAAAGTGAAGCTACCATAAATACTCACATTTTTCATTGCAACGCTTTACATCAGCCTCAGAGAAGATACTCTCGTTCTACTAGATTGTGCAATATCCTCTATACACCGCAACACATTTACACATTGATGTGTTACAATAGGAAAAATGGTGGGAGGGAGAGCAATTTACCAATTCCTTTTTTGTTTAGAGAACCAATTTGGAACAAAAAGGGATGATAAGACCAAAGAATGAATACAGCATTGCCATTAGCTGTGGATATTAACCCCGTTCATTGCAATGAACTAGCTCAATAAGAACCGGTTTTTAGTCCAGTAAAAAATGTAAAAATAAAAGCTTTTTTTATAATGTCTTTACATTCATGTTGAATCAAACCATGGGGTGGATGAGTAATATGTCTTTAGGATCTTAGTGCATTCTGTGTTGACCAGATGCGTTTGTGTGAATAAATTAAATTGAACACACTATAATTAGTTTAATTCATGTTGATAAACCACCGTTCATCACATACAACTTGAAAAACTCATGAATCCCAAGAAGTATGCATCTGAACCGGTACACGCTAGTCCCATGAAGGGGACAAAGCAGATTGGCTTTGTAGTTCTTTCCACAAAGCTTTTATCTCTCCCCTCTATTATTTATAACCCCTCACTGTGTTTTAACAAAATGTGTCCATATAGGATAAGAGTAATGCATTTGCAAAAGCAGAGGTTGAAACAAGTAGGACAGAAATAGAGAGAGCATTAAAGTGCTGTTATGGAGTCAGTTATGTGGCTTGCACAAATATATATTCAATCTTAGCATTATTAATGTCTTGGGATTAGACTAAAGAACTGTACATCTTTCTGCATTCAAAGCAGTTATTGCTCTCATATCACAGTGCCTGCACCGGGTTAATGTTGGCACTTTCTGTGTGATTTCATGCACTGTTAATAGTAGTCATTCATTCATTCATTTCCAAATGAAAGATGACATGTTTTCTTTTGTATACTCAAATACTGCACATGCATATGTTAGGTATGGCATTTAGCACATATTAAGAGAATGCTCAAATTAAACAGCTTGTCACATGTCACACAAATCTGCCCTAATTACCACGGGTGACGCATTTTTCTGTGTTCCGAGGGCTGGTATTTAGGGCACACTGGGCTTTCTTCATAGGCCTTCAATTAAGCCAATCACTAATCACTATGTGGTAATTAAATGCCTTAAAGAGTTCTATTCACAGATGGCCAAAGAGCCAACCAGGAGGTGGCAAAGTGGAAGCAGGGAGATGTTTAGCTCAGCCACACAAAGCCCGCCAACAGCAGTATGTGGATAAGTTATGCCCCTTTTTCTTCTGTCTCCCTTGTTCGTACGGCTCGCATCACAACGTGTGCACTTGTCAAGATATAAGCAGAAGTAAGCAGTTTAAATGTCAAGACTACAACTAATGTGAAATAATTCAGCTGCTGGAGGGAGGTATATTTTGTGATATTTTCATTGCATTTTAATTGTAGTGGTGCACACCTTTGCGCTTTCACTCACTATATGTTCTCTTATCCACTCATTTCCAACAAGTAACCCTAACCCTAACCCTCATTTATTTCATTCGATCATTTAAGTGAAACAGGACACTTTAATACACATCGCTGTTAACCAGAATAAAATGTCTCATCTACAGTGTCAAGACAATGTCATTCTAAAATATAACATGATATTAATGTGTTGAAACTATTTATCAATATAAATATCCTGAAAAAAATTGCTTATTACTATTTTGACAGTATTATATATTATTGTAGCTGGTAGAAATATTTAACCAGTGGCATAAATATCATAGTTGACATCATTATAAAACAATAACAGGATTTTTTTTAATGACTATACGTTTTAAATAATTCAGTATGTCCAGCTATCTGATTACCCGGCAATGCCCCGTAATGGACAATTTAGTTAATTTATATAGTGTTCTAAAGCCTCTTCTGTAACATTCCCACACACTTAATGAAAAGTGGATTACATAAACAAAAGTATCGGTAAATGCAACAATTAAAATGTGGAGATATCTGAGCAAGTCATTCACTCCATTGTGTAGCCGAAGCCTGCGGTACAACTCAAAGGGAGTTTACACAGTGAAAGATCAGGATTCAGCCATGTGCCTCTATTTTATAATTAGTCCACAGAGTCAAGCTTACAAGACCATGTAGTGAGTCCACGTTGGGAACTGGGAATAAAAACAACCACTTTCAAAGAATATCTTTGCAGGTCTTTACATTTCTGTGTTCCATTCAAAAGTTACTAAATTCTCCAATCTTACATATTCTTTCATATGTGTACAATATCTTTTTAAATGAAGACAAACATCGGTCAGACAGGTTATTTATTTTATTTTTACTATGAAACACATTGTTGTCATATAATAACATTAATTATAAAAAAAGGTCTCTACAGGAACTAAGCCATGTAAAAGGGTACATGCTATTATTTCAATACTTACGGCAGAATAATAGATCTATATATAAACATTAGTATCAATGTCTCCCAAGTAACATTTGCAACCTGATACCTTACCAACCAGCTCTCCGAATTATGGAATTAGACTGCAGCAACAACATACTTGAATGCTTGAATGCGCTGAGTCTATTCTTTGATCTTGTTGAGACGTTCTCTGAGAGGATTAATGTGTCACATTAGATACTTCGCTTCTGTTGAGAATAATATAAATCTTCCAGTTCCACATGTGTATGACACCATAAATGGAAAATGGAAATCACTCCACATTTAGACACTTTGTTTTTTCCTTGTTGTGCTTGATACAACTTGTCAACATTCACTAAGGTGACGGGAAAAGAAACAGCCCTGGATAAAAATGTTGCACATGAAAATTGAATTCATTGTTGCAGCAAAGTGCATATTGAATCAAATTCTCATGACTAAGCATTGTGTTGTTTCGCTGACACGGTGATCTTGATCCAACGTGCCAAAAAGCACATGTCACAACAGACTCGTCTCTCCCTGTCACTGTGTTTGTGTGATGTCACACAGCTTGAAAAGAACAGACATGTCTCGTGTGCTTTTCACGCCAAGGGTTGTGTGACCAATCCAGGCGACGCCTTCTACGAGTGGCAGGTCCGACGGGACGTGAGGAAACGGGGACAAATGTCTTCTGCACTGCAGCTGTCACTTTTACTTAGCAGCCAGATGAGTCAAGCTGAACTGTACTGCGGAGGCTAGTGGATTTATTGAGATTAGTCAGAGGCTTAATGGGATCCCCAGGCTCTTATCATTATCTCACAGAACAAACCCTTCC